GCAGCAAAAATCAGCACTGTTAGCTATGAAATATATTCAAAAGGAACTTTTCTTTGCTGATGATTCTTTCTTTGTAACTTTCCCAGTCTTTTCATTTCTTCAAGGCTGAACTGTTTTGGCCCCAGATCCCCTCTTTTTGCTGATGTTAATAGGTAATTACCTGTTCCACTTTATCACTTACATCAGGCACGGGTAAAACTTTCAGGGTTTGCCCTTTTAGAATTTTTTCTTTGTCCCTCTTTCTTTTCAGCTGTAGCTGAGACTTAGATTTGCATTAACAGCAGGTATTTGAGACCATCCTTTATTGCCAGCCAGTTAAATGGAATTGTTGCATCCTCCTGCTCTTTGTTCCTGTTAAGAAAACCCTGCTTTCCCCAATGTGTCAGCCTTGTCCTTGGCATGGAAAGGATTGTGCCATCAGGGAGCAGAGCAGTGCTACAAGCCAGAACTGGAGGAGTAAAATAGCTAATAAAAAAGAAATTCAAGTCAAAATGGTGAAATTGCTCTCAAGGTTTCCTTTGAAAGTGTGCTGAGTGGCTGATAGAAAAATGGCATTTCTGTAGTGCTCAGCTGAGCCTGGGAGTGAGGGATCACCGAGGCTCTCTGCAGTGAGGAATGGTTATTAGGAGGGGAATTAAGGAATGCCTGTTATTCACAGGCTGGGAGATGTGATGAAGATATCACCTGTGTTTAAATCAATCTTCTGCAGCAATTTACTTCAATTCTTCCAACTTCAGTAGCAGTTGCCCCAAGAGGCTGTTCAGGAGGATAATGGAGATGAGAGAAGGGTGGATGGAGGAAGCTGCAATTAGGAACAGCAGAGGCTGTCAGGGTACAAAAAGCTGGGAGTGTCTGAGGCTACTTAGAGCTGATGGCCTGGAGAAAATGATAATCAGAGTTGTTCTTGGCTGGGGACAAGGTGGTGGAAGGTCAGAGGTGGCAGGGAGGCTCTGGGCCCTTTACAGCACAGGCCAGGCTAGAAAAGGGGACATCTGAGGAGCCCTGGGGATGGAACCCGCCAACCTCACTGGGTCCTGAAGCCTTTGAGAAAGGAGATTGAAGGGGCACAGCAAAATCTTGTAAATTGTTTTTATTTCCTGCTGGAATTGGTTTCATGTGGAATTTTAGGCTGAATGCAATGATCTATTAAAGCAAAACAGAAGGAAAGGAAACGTTGAAAAATGTAGGGTTTGTTACCTTTCTCCCCCCCCTTTCTCTTTTCTTTTGGTGTTAAACTACTTGCAAAAGAGACAAATAATCTGGGAGCTGCCAGTTTAGCTGTGTTCTCATTATCCTGGCAGAAGCACAGAAAGAATGCAAAATCAGGCAGTGTCTATATTTTTCTAAGGCAGAACTCTTATTAAATGAGAGGTAGAGCATTTTAGCAAGAAAGTAATTTCTTGAACATGATTAACAATTGGAATTTCTGTCCTAAGAGATTACAGCTGGAAGGCAGCACCTGGATGGGCTGCCTAGACCCCTGGTGAGATGCTGCAGGGAGCACTGGGACATTGTCACTCTGTCCTGTGCTGTGCCAGCTCCCTGCCAGGGTTTCATGGGTTTTCCTGCCCATCTCATCTGACCCTGGGCTAATGAGGTTCCTGCTAGAAGAAATCACACAAAACTTAAGGCCTTTAAAATCAATCACTATACAAAGAGCAGTTAAAGATATAAAAAGTGAAAAATCTTTACCAGTCTCTGTTTGATAAGGTGCCTGCTCCAATTGATAGTGAGAACATTTCTGTGCAGCAGTGTTAGGGTTGTCTGCTTGTGTGTTAACACATGTCAAAAGAAAGGTGGTACTTAGGATTTTGAGGCACTGTGCTGTTTTACATGGTGTCTTGGAGGAGCTTGAGCTGTGTTTTTCCAGACTTATTTATTTGCCTTAACAGTTTCTATAAAAAGAATGTTTTGCAATGAACAGAGGAAACTCTACCAAGCAGTCCCAATACAATTCAGGCAAATGACAGAAGGCAGAGCTTTCTTCTGTGAAGATGTTATGAGCGCCTGTATTTTTTTTCTTATCTCTGGCATCCACTTTGCATTAGCTTTGGAGAGTGATTTTATCTTTAAATATGAATCAGACAATGTTGCCAAGACAACCTCTCCTCAAGCTTTTCATTTCACCCCCATTGTGTGCTGAACCTCTCCTCAGTCTCCCAGAGCAACTGGTCACTTGTTTGTCAAGTGGGGCTTGATTTGATGGAGCAGAGCATTCCAGGGGCAGGGTTGTCTTGGCTGCTTTGCAGGTAACTCCAGCCAGTGGTCCTGGCTCTGTCTCCAGAGCTGGAGGAGGCCAACCACCCTGGCAGCTGGGAATGAAATGTTTGGAGGAGGTGCTTGATTCCTGTTGATTTCTGTGCCTGATTTCTGTGCCTGATTCCTGTTGATTCCTGTGATGGATCCCTGTTTTCCCAGCCAAGGCATGGATATCCATGTGGGAATGCAGAGGCAGTGGCAGCCCCCTCCTCCCCAGGCTGTAGCCCAGGATTTCTGCTGGACTATTGACTGTCAATGCAGCAGTTTGAGGCTAGCAGAGCTGTGCTCACTTTTGCATTCCCCACAAATATCTCACTGCTTTTGTTGGAGTAGGATGATTTCTGTGGCTTGGCAGGTGGTCAGCTGGTCTGTCCTGCTGCTGGCAGGGTGGGGAGGAGGGTGTGGGGGTCAGTTACCTGTCATTGCTCCCTACCATGAGAACTTTGGATAGATCACAGAATATCCTGAGCCAAAGGGACCCACTGGGATCATCCTGGAACTAACAATCCCACCCTGTTTATCCCTGAGAGCATTGTCCAAATACTCCTGGAGCTCTGGCAGCCTCAGGGCTGTGCCCGTTCCCTGAGGAGCCTGTTCAGTGCCCAGCACCCTCTGGGGGAAGAACTTTTCCCTGATTCCCAACATAAAACTTCCCAGGAAAGGCAGTGAGCTACTCGACTGTACATTTCTGAGCTTTGCTTCAGTGTAACAGAGTGGGAGATGACACAGGCTCTACAAAGCTGAAATTAAATATAACTCTGTCTTGTCAAAGGGGGAGTGACCAACTCAAATCAGATTTGAATAAATATAGGTTCAGTTTGTCATATGGTAATATTAAATTCCCTTTTCATTTCTTATCACCTCAGTGTATTTTATGCCCCTTTTGCTCCTGCTTCTCATGCCTTTGCCAGCAGACCCTCTTTTCCCAGACACCTCTCTGTGCTGTCACTCTTCCAGCTTTATTAAATAGTGGTTGTATTGTTCTGTCTTAAAGTTGCAAAGGAAGCTGTGGCAAAGGGATGTTTTAATTAAATATAACAGTGTAGATGGCTCTGCCTCTGTTAATAAAAAATGAAAGAGTTTGCTGGAAAGATTTCTTTGCTCCTTTAGTGCCACAATAAATGTATTACCTCAGGGAACATGAGGGCTGTGTTGGTGACAAGGGGATGGCAGTGACAGCAAGGGGTGCCTTGACTTTGGTGGGGACACACCCTGGGCACAGTCCAGGGGGATGAGGGCTCTGCAGGGATCTGAGAGATGCCCTGATGCCTCCTGTTTGGGCCTGCAGGAGGTGGAATCTCAGATGGTTTCCCAAGAAGCAGCTGAAAGATGGGACGAGACAGGAATTCATCATCCTGCCAGAGATGAGAGTTTATCCAGTGACAGGCTTATATGATCACTGGTGTCCTGAACAGTTTGTGTTTTTCACAGAGAGAAAAACAATTTCCCCTTGAAGGATTTATATTTATTTTTGTCAAATATTTCCAAAGTTTCAATTATTTTTTTTAGCTATTGCATCCATTCCTTCCAGCAGAGAGACACAGAGGTCAAAGTCTCTGCTGCATCTGTCTCCTAAAAGTCCTTCCCATTTCTGAAAGGCTGGCTGCAGCTGAGGGACTGCTTTTCCAGTTTGCAAGTTTAATGTGGCTTTTCTGTTACATTTATGAATGTGAAATCCATTGGTATTTAATATGATCTGTACTGAATCCACAGCAGAAGTATAAATATTTATTGCTAATTTTTTTCTTTGCAGCTGATGAACATTTTGCACGTGGGCTCTGCATCTCAGGGTTTTTTTGTGTCTGTTTGAGAGAGGGTTGTGGAAAATGCATCAAAGTTTACTGAATAAAGAAAATTCAGATGATATTGTGAGCTGCAGTGTAGTACAGAGAAGGGATTATTCTAAATGCAATACATTAAAAGTTATTTCATCCAGGACATAAATGACATTTCAGATTTTGAAAAGAATAATTATCTGAGCTGGCACATGAAAGAGCTCTTTATCTATTGGAGCTTTTTGTGTGTGTGTTTTAACCTGTTAAAGATAACTATGGGATTTATTTAGTGTGTGAATAAAATGGAGCAAGTGATAACCTTGGTCTGTCACACACAGCCACCAGGGTGTCTGTCCCAGGGGTGCTCTGCCCATACTTTTCCTGACATACTAAATTCACCTCTTGCATTTCTGTGTTTTTTTGATTTGAGGCATCTCTGTGAGTTGCAAAATAGAGCCTAAGCAGCCCTCCTGATGCTGCTGCTGCTGGAGCCCCCTCCTAGGAGGGAGGCAGTGCTGTGACTCGCTGTCACACTGTCCCTGCTGTGGCACAGGACAGTGTTTGTGGCTGTGGCTGCCCAGGGGTGGCACAGGGCAGGGAATGCACAGCTGTGCAGCTGGGCTGTGGCTGAGGATGGAGTTGTCCAGTCTGGGTTTGAAATGCAGCACAACTGCTGGCTTGGGTCACACCTGAGGTGCTGACAGCTCTGGCCGCAGCCTGGCTGCTCTGTCCAAGCTTTGTCTGTCTGTACAAACCAGCTTCCATTCCCAGGGTAAGGGAATTATCTCCATTTTCCTTGAGAGCCACAAATCTCTGAGACTGACAAACAGAAATCAGCTTCCCCTTGGAGAATATGGAGAACAAAACCTGCACTGTGGGGAACTCGATTTTGCAGTGCTGCTGAGCTCTAAAGTCTTTACCTGCTCTCTCACTTTCTCTCCTTCACTTGTATTTTTTTTCTTTCAGTAGAAAAGTGGATTTGGAAACTCTTGGAAATGCAAACACTTGGAAACCAATTCTCTTGGTAAGCTGTTACTAGAAAGGGTTTAAACAATTCATTTTTTCACATACAATAGAGCTATTAAGTTCTTACCAAGAACTGCTACTAAGAATATTAACCTTTTAGTGAATTGATTTAAAGTAGAAGAGAAAAATATATCTAACTTGCATATCTTTTGACAGACAATATAAAATATTTTGTTACACTATTTTAAGAGTAAATACATTTAAAAAAAAATTAATGACTATCTAAATCATAGAATCTAAAGGTTTGGATCTGGGGATGGTACAGAAAGAACTGAAGCTGTGTCTGAAACAAACAGAAGGTGTAAGAAAAACAAAAGTTTATTGCAATGGTCTATGACCACAAGAGATAAGATTTAGAGCTTTATATTTTATATTCTTTACTAACCAAACCACAAGGAAAAATTTACCGCAGCTGTGACGGTGTTCACAGGGGTCTTAGGATGAGGGAAGAGATGAGGATCTGACTCCATGTTTCAGGAGGCTTGATTTATTATTTTATGATATATATTATATTAAAACTACACTAAAAGAACAGAAGAAAGGATTTCATCAGAAGGCTAGCTAAGAATAGAATAAGAAAGAATGAATAACAAAGGCCTGTGGCTCAGAGAGTCCCAGCCAGCTGGACTGTGATTGGCCATTAATTAGAAACAACCACATGAGACCAATCACAGATGCACCTATTGCATTCCACAGCAGCAGATAATCAATGTTTACATTTTTCCTCCTGAGGCCTCTCAGCTTCTCAGGAGGAAAAATCCTAAAGAAAGGATTTTTCATAAATGTGTCTGTGACACCACAGCCTCATGCCTTTTCTGATTGCTTTCCAAAACTATGCCAATTGATTGCTTCAATTTTTTTTTTCATATTTATAAAATACTTAGAGGATTAGTTTAGAAGCATAGTAGACAAATACAGTTTAGCTCAGGAATTCTCTCTAATCAGTGACTTTCTGGGCAAGTAGAAGACACACGGTCATCTGAAATACTCCCCTAAATATTCTAAAGAGGAATGGCAACTAAGTTTATAAGAGTTTCTATAGGATTATGAGAGTTTTGTAGTTGGATTATAACAAAATAATGATCTTCAGTGATAATAATTGTTGCTTTATTCAGAGTTCCACTGCCTGGTTCCTGACATCCTGAAGATGTCCCAGCTCCAAGGATTGCCCCTCCCAGCAGAAAGCCCTTGAGGAGTGCTCCTTGCTCTTGAGGTGAGCCCTGGGAACTCCATGGCTTCCAGATTTGTTCTGATCACATAGTAATCATTGTTTAAATAAGCTTGTGCAGTGTGTGAGCTGGTTTGGAACCTTATTGGGCAGCAGAGACTGACGTGTCAGTCCTGCCATGCTCTTTATGCACATTTGAAAGTTTATTTTGTGTCAGTAGTTCCAGCCAGTGGAAGAAAGTTATGTTAGCTATCAGAAATCGTCAGAGCTCTTTTCCTTTGTGTTATCCAGGCACTGGAAATCCATGGCTCATATTTCTGTGAGCTTTACAACTCTCTGTGATCACAGAAGTAAGATCCCCTTGAAAGGTGAGAAAAGATGTTCTTCCTGGGGTTCCCTGGTTTGCAGAGGGGAAAGGAGATCTCACAGCTCATCACCAAAGGTGTATTGGGACAGACAAAAGTGATACAGACACTCCATCCTCAGAAGGCACGAAAAGCCACTGTATTATTAGAAATCCACAGTTCTTATAGAAACAATGGTGGAACTAAGAAGTGATTGGCCTTTAAGAACCTTCTCTCACACTCTTGGTGAACTATGAATAGCACACTCTGGAGAACCATATCTATAAACAGTGGTTATAGAAAGAGAGAGAAGAATTGTTTGAATTCTTTCCTCTAAGTTTCCCACAGCTTCCCAGGATTTTCCTGGGAGAACCATGTCTCTCTCTGTTCAGAGGATATGAAATTACTACAATTGCTGAAGACAGCCATGTCACACTCAGTGTTCCCATTGGAAGGAGAATAAGTCCAGAAGAAGCTGCTTGTTTTTGAGCTGTCTCCTGTGCTGGTTTTGGCTGGAGTAGGGCTCTTTATCTTCCCTGTGGCTGGTGTGGGCTGAGTTTGGGTTTGTGCTGAGCTCAGGGCTGACAGCACAGAGGTGTTTCTGCTCTTGCTGAGCTTGCACAGAGCCAAAGCCCTTCCTGCCCCTCGTCCAGCCATGCAGGACAGGGGCTGGTAGGGGACGTGGCCAGGACAGGTGGCCCCTTCACTTCCTAACTAACCATATAAATAAAATTAATTTTAGTCATCCTTTTGAAGGGAATCAAGAGAATTCTGTAGTATGGGGCCACAGGTCTGCATTGGTTATTGCAGTTGCATTTGGAACCCACATTTAGTTTAACCTTCGGTTTGCTTTCCAGCCTTTCAGTTGTCCTTCCTCCTGCTCAGATGTTGGGCAGGGCAGGGAGTGAGCACTGTGGGTTTGTCCAGTACAAGGTGCCTTGTGACCCAGCAGCCCTGAAGCTACAGAAAACATTTTTTTAAGTCTAGGAAAGAAACCTCATATTCTGTTGAGTCTCAATATTTACTGTCCACAGCATAAATGTACTCTTAAAAAGTAACTCTCTTGATATTTTGCTGTATTTTTACAGGGTTACTTCAGACTAAGTGAGTGAAGAGATAAATTCATGTGGTTTGCACAAGAAAGTGCTTTATCCATTTTCACTTGCTAAAGCACACAGAAAGTTCATCTGTCAATATGAAATCCAAATGAAAATAGAGAAATTGGGTATTATTGCTTGTTTTTTGCAAAAAATCAATAAATTTTCAAGGCATTTTACAGCATTGATATTTTGTTAAGCAAACACATCTGTTTCCAGATGTGGGTTGTTCTGTTTGTCCAGGATGTCTCAGCATTTATTTAAGGCATGAACTCCCACACACAACCCTGTATTTATCCAATTTAGCAGGTTCTCTTCCTTTAGTGACCCTTTTTGCTTTTGTACTTGTCACCTACAGCTTCATCCACAAACTAGATTAAATTTATTTTCCTGGACCCAACACCACAGGCATAGCAAGTGTCTCTGAACTGTCACAGGTCACAAGTAAAACAGCCTTTGAAAGATGTGTTTATGGCTGTTGTAAATATCTCCATTCCCTCTCCAGCTGCAGAACAGAGTGTTTCAGAACAAGTCTTGTTTGGGGAACTCTTTGCAGGATGTTTGCAGCACTCAAGAGGATGCTGGGGTATGGTCCCTCTAATGAAGGCAAACTTGACAACTCACAGTTTTCTAGAATTTAATATAAATTGAATGTGTTTGGGAGCTGATGTGCTGCCCAGAGGTTGTGGTGGTGGTTGGTGTTTTGACTGGATTGTGTAGAAGTTGATGAAGTGAGGCACAAGAGAGAAACTAAACGGCAACAGAAAAAGCAGGAGAAAGGACGGTAAGGCAGAGGCAAAGAAACTGAGGAGTGGAAATCTCAGCTGCTGTGAGTTTTTCTTGCTGGAGTTATTGAAAATTATCCTAATTTAAATAATTATTAGGAGCTAAAAATGGCATCATTTACCCAGGCAAAATCTTCCTGAAATGCTGCTGCTTTCTTCTCCCAGTAGCTGTCACTGCATGTTATCGGGCCTTTCCAGTCTTTCTTACCTCTATCCCAGTCATTATTTTATCACCTTTTTTTCTCTTCCACATGAGAGAATGCAGCAGCACAGTTGTTCTGGAATTGTCCTTGCTTCTTTCATCCAAACTCAGCTGGCTTCTCAGCTTCAACTTGTGCAGGACTCCTCTCTATGAACTTCATCATCTTGATGAAGTTGCTGCTCTATGAACTTCATCATCTTGACTCCAAACCCTGTACAGAATCCCAGAATGGTCTGGGTTGGGAGAGACATAAAAGAATATCTGTTTATGGTCCCTAAAAATGAACCATAGTAGAATATCCCTCTGCTATGAGCAGGGACATCTTCTCCTTCTACCCTTCTACATTGCTCCAGGCCCTGCCCCACCTGGCTTTTGTCTTGAGCTCTTCTTTCATTCCCCAGAGATAGATGTGAAGCTTTAGCAGTAATTTCCCCTCATAGAAAGTTCTCTGTAGAGCCCACTTGCACTTGAGTTTCCCCCTTGTTCATGTTCGCAGGATTTGATGCTCCTCAGCCACTTCACCCATAATTTTTTTTTTTTTTTTTACTTTTTTCCTCATGAATCCTTGTGTATGAGGAAAAAATTATTCTAATAGAGCTGTCCACCTATTTCAGTGTCCCTTCTGATTCCTTGTGACTCTCTGCCTGTGAGTCCCTGTTATGCCCGAGTGGGGATATCACACGCATTGCACTTCCCGGCTTTGCTGCTCCAACTATTCCTTTTCTCTTAACTTCCCATATTTCCACTATTTCTGATGGAAACTCACCCAGGTAGCTGAGCACTCAACATGTCCAACAGCATTACCTGTGCTGTTTGCCTTTCATCCCATGAATGGCCAAGAAATTTAGGGCTGGAACCTGTATTGAATGTGTTGCTGGAATAGTAGAAAATGTCCATAGCTCTGTGACTGTGATCACTGAAAGGGTATTTTCTCTCAATGTGATGAACTCCTAATCCTCTGGGAGGGATAGTGATCCAGGCTGGCTAACTGGGAATGCTTTTGTATTGGTTCTTTTGAAGAACAAAAGTGTTGACAGGAGTAGGATTAATACTGTTTAAGTCTTTTATATTTGAGTAGCATAGAAACTAAATTCCATTACAATATTTGCATAAGTTATTCAGTACACAGAATTTTGTTTCAAACTTTTAAAGACATTACAATTACCTTAAGCTGCAAAGACCAATAAATCAGTAATGTATATTAATCCCAATTCCTAAGCAAATATGCACACTTAATTTAACTTTTTTCTCTTCAGGAACACTGGCATATTAAAGAGAGCTGTGCAGGCCCTCCCTGTCCAGCTCTGGTAGACTGGAACATGGTCAGGAGGCTGCCTTGAAAATAATTTTTATTCCAAAGACTTTGCTGCCAGTCCCTTCACTTCTCTGTAAAGAAACTAAACCTCCCTGTAAAGCTTGGCTGTGCCCATGGCCTGGCCTCTGGCCTCTCCTGGCTGCAGAAGGATTCACTTGGATTTTCATCTGCTGTTCCTGCCTCTGTCTGGACATTAATTCTACTTCAGGTCACTGTTTCTTTGGTGGTCGTTCTGAATTATCCACCCACTACAGCATTCCAGTTGCAACTCCATATCCACCAAATTTTGATTACAGCAGTACCACAGTCACTACTGTAAAGGTTTTTGGGTCTTCTGATGTACTGTTTTGTCTTCTTGTTTATTATCATGTTGTTTTCATGCTTGCATTTGTCAGGTGTGTGATTCTACTGCCACTCCAGAGAACTCACACAAAGAACCCTTGAGGTTATCCCTAATTAGGCATCACAAGTCCTCTGCACTGTGTTTCACATCTTGATATTTCAGCAGTGATTTTCCATTATTATTTAAGTCTGAATGGGAATGAGAGAAAAGTCCCTTACTTGCAATTCAAAATTCTGGTGTTGGACACCACATCATGATATTTGGGACAAGTGGGATCAAGTGCTCTCAAGTCAAGTGAGCTGTTTTTCTGGTGTACAGAAAAATACAGTTCAGAAAAAAACCCTCAGTGTGTGAAATGTGCTTCATCAACATCCTTTTCTTTTTTCTAACAATTCTAGGAACTGTGCCTACTCCTGAAATAAAGATCCTGAAAGATTTTAAATTGGCAGCTGAGGTTCTTCTTGAATGCAGCAGTCCACCCACCACAGCTACCCATAGACCCTGTGAGGTACCTTGGAAATTCAATAGCAAACAACTAAACACCCAAGGCTTCAGTTTGTGTTTCAAAATCTTAAGGTTGTCCCCTTAATTAATCTGGGAAGCTCTGGAAGGTGGAGACTGAGAAGCTGTGTTGCAGAAAATGGTGGACCACATGAAACCAAGCTGGATATTGAATGTTCAGAGGAGGGGTTGAAGGAACATTATTTGCCCACTGGAGGAGGTGGTTGCTAACTTGGAAAAACAAAAACAAAAAAAAAAAGGAAGGAATTTGATTTCTATCAGTCTGTGCTCTTCTCCTGATGCTGAATAATTTCCCAGGGCTTTCCAACCATGCACATGAGACCTGTAGAGAAGCTGTGGCTTCCCGTGAGTCAGTGGATTGTAATAACATTGCCTGGGAACTGGGGGGAAATCCATGGTTTTCCTTCTTCCTCAGATATTCCTGGCTGAGAGATGGG